GACTCTTCTGTGAGGGGACGTCCAATTTTCTACAGATGGGCTTTGGGTCTCCATTCTGACCCCCCTCACTTGCATTGAAATGGTTGTTTTAGGTAAGACCCCTGTTTTTTTTAGGGCTTATTTTTTAGGTCAGATGATAGAAATCCCCATCCAGTTTTATACCTTACCCAGCCTATGACTAAATGACTAACCGGAAGAGAGCTGGCACGTCGCTGACTGGACACTGGTGTAGCCTGGGCTTACTCCCGATATGCAGTTAGCTAACCTCAACACCAAGTTTGCCGTATCCCTCCCTCCGGCCTCTGTGGGAGTTTTATAACTTCTTTATTGCCCAGAGACAGGTAGGTGGTGTAGGATGTCTGATGACTCAGTATGGCCATTGAGCCAACATTGCCTGGAGGGTCAAGACATCAAAAGAGATTGCTTGTACATCATAAATATTACTCTTACTGTTTTATCTGATGGCCCTTGTAGATATTTACTTCTTGTGATTTGAGTAATGGAAAGTACCTGGGAAAGTACATGATTCCCCCCAAATGTACTTTACATTCCTGTGTAAAAGTCTACAGACTCTGTTCTGGTCTCAAGTGGAACTCCCATCAAGACAGCCAGCATTGCTGTCATTCTCCCAGTGGTGTCACCTTCTAATAAACTTCTCTTGCACACTCGGTAGCACTGGCTTAAGTCATTTCCCTTTGGGAAGAACCCAAGTTCCTGTTGTGAGGATTTTCCTGTGAGATGCTCATACTACAACACGAAGTAAATCCAGGTGCAGTCCACTTGTCACTTTTCTTTGTAACGTTTTCACGGACAGCAGTGTTTCCCAAAGTGGGAGCCAGCACCCCTTCGGAGGGGCGCCGGAATGCATGATCCAGGGGCCTGCAAAAACAGATACCCACACTTTATCCTGGGATATGGGCTGCAGTACAAACACGTTTTTAATGGCCAGGGAGGCACTGAGTACTCGTCTTTTTCCAAAGGGGATGGCATGCCAGTAAGTTTGTAAACCTATGATTTACAGTCTCGTTATTTTTCAGTATACTTTTTATTGAAATAGAAAGATGAAGAAAGTGCCCACAAGTGTACGTATTCTTGAACTTTCACAGTGAACATCAACATTCATTTACTAAGCAAGCCATCAACACTCAGACCAAGAGAGTATTTCCAGAACCCTGGCAAGTCCTGTCTTCTAGTGGTTTAATACCCAGAACAGTAACTTTTCTAAGTGTCTATTTGTGCTTGTTTCAAATAGTCAAGGATGTAATAATACAGAATGCACTGCTTTGTCTTGCTTAGGAGTCACTCATGTCGCTCTGTGTAGTTACAATTCATTCAGTCACAGCTGTACCACTCCACCATATGCACACATCACAGTTTACTGTGGATGGGCACGTTTCTAGACTTAGGCTATTGCAAACGATGTCGCTGTGCATAGTCTTGGACGTGTCTTTCGGTGAACACATTCCATGATGTTATCGAGTAAAGACTTGATGTGCAAACACGGGGCTCTAGGGCATGCGTTTGTCCAGTGCATCCTGTTTGAAGTATGGTGACCTCTCACTGCTTTTCAGCTGTAGTTCTCCATCCACTAGTGAAGCTGGACCGTTTGTATGTATGTACAAACTGTTCAAATTTTCATTTACACAAACAATACATGAATAGATCTGTGTAAAGACATGCATGTGAAGCTACTGAATTCATCCGTGAGCATCGCTCGAAAGCCAGCCCCTCAGCCTCCACCTCTTCATAGGCCCCCGCTATCTGTGGCCCATACTTGTGAGCACTCGGTTTGTAGTCAGGACATTGGGATCGCCGTCTTGCCTTGGTTTTGCCACTGGCTTGCATGATTTTGGGTAAGTTTCTCCTCTGGGTCTCTTTCCCCATCTATGAGTGTTTAACTGTCATCTGTAACGGCCTCGCTGCTCTCTTACTCTAACCAGTATTTCTGTGACTACAAGATTCCGTGTGGCGGAGACGGGCATTTGCTTCCATATTCCCTCTCCATTCTCCCTCGTCACTGAAGTTTTAGCTGTGCACATGGCTGCCTCACTTGACTCTTGTTTTCTAGCCTGCCTTAAACAAGTAGATGTAGCCACGCGGTTTCAATTCAGGCGGGAACATGTGAGCAGAAGTGACATGTGCACCTTCTGGGTCATACCCCCGTGCGGAAGGCTCGTGCCCTTTTCTGCTTTCTGCCAACTGACCAGAGGACGTGATGGTGGGAACTGGGTCAGTCGACTTTGATCATCGGATGGAAATTGAGTGAAGGATGGCAGAGCAAAGCAGGAACCCAGCCCTCTCCCTCCGTGTACCGCCATCAGCTCAGGCAGAAATACGTTTTCATCTTCAGCTAGTTATTTTGAGCAAAGGCCCATTGGTCCCGAGTCCTAATATGTAGGAAATGACATACGAGGAATGATGGATTGGGTCAGGGGAGGTGTTTTTGTTGTGAAGAGATCTCTCTGAAGAAGAGATCAACAACAGAGATGAAGCAAGCCATACAGATTTGGGGAGAAAGCATTCCAGACAGAGGGGACCACGTCGAAATAACTGGAGACAAACCGCTTTCTTCAGTGACCGAGATGGGCTTCAATCTAAAAGAGAGCAGAACTTAAAAACTAGAACAAATTCATAATGAGTAAAAAGGCAGATCCAATGATAAAGGGTTCAATTCTTAACCTGGCTGCTTCTGCAATAATCTCCTTCCCAATGCACTGGGCAGAAGAGCAAGGCTGCTCACAGGCCTGAGCAGCGTGCTGCTTATCTTCCGCTGTTTGGAGAGTGAGGTAGGTCATGTGACCCGAGTAGGCCAATCAGAGACCCCCAGAGATTTGTAAAGTGAATGGTCGGCTAGAAAGCCTCTAATATTGTCACGAGGGCTTTTGGGGAACATGTGACAAACACCTGCCTGGGGATAAAGCCACTGGAGGCAAACAGATAAGGGCTAGAGAGCAAGCGCTCCCTGAGCATCTGGAAACCCGGATCCAAGCACACCTGGTTACTAGGACCCCATTATGGAAACCAGGCCTTTCCTTTTCTCCCCTATGGAATGGGGCTTCTCCACTCAAACTGGAAGCACCCAGAGAACAGGATGGCACAAATCACATGCTCTAATTGGCTAGTCAGTGTGGTGCTTGGCCAGGACTGCCCCTCCCCTAGTTGTTGGGAAATCAATCATCTTTGTTTCTGAGTATTAAAGCAGCAGTTAAAATACCTAATTTGGGGGTCGGGAACCCTCAGCCATATGCCAACGAGGGTGAAGCTTTAGGGATCATAGTGAAACAAAACAAAGATGTCCACATGGAAATATGTTGGCGACCAGTGGCCTGCAGTGAGGTCTTAAGGCCTGTCTGAGTGCCAACAAATCAAACCCACTTGGGGAGGCCTGGGAGTCTGATGTAATGTACTTTTGCAACGTGGTGAAAAGTGTTCTCTGCCCCAGGGGACGCGGATTGCCACCAGCACAAAGCAGCACACACAGCTGAAAACTGGCCTGAAGGACCCAGATCCCCCAGGACCCTCTCCGAGAAGCCCTGCCCATCTAACCACTGTTGCCTTCCAGAAAACCAACCTCATAGCGACCTTATGCAAGAGCGTAGAACTGTCCCTGTGGGATTCTGACTCTGTCACTCTTTTGGGCAGTAGAAAGCCTTAACTTTCTGGGGGAAAAAATGTTGTGGGTTGGAGCAGACACCAAGTCAGGGCACCGCATACTTAAGCCCACCATGCCTGGTGGCAACTCCATCCACTGGTCGTCCCGCTATGGAATCTATTCGAACAGGATGCCCGACCCATGCTAACACATAGCGATGGTCCTGAAGCTGAACAATACAGGCTGAAACGCATCTAGAGTGGCCTCGCACCAGCAGCCTAATCTCTTCAGATTACAGCTTTTCCCCTGCCTAGCATCCCAAGATGAATTTAGGGTACCCTTTGCAACCCACGCTAGTTTTTTCTCTAGGCTTCTCTGTCTTAGCAAATGCTCATCCGCCTTGGAGATGCTCATGCCAACATTTAATTTACCCCCCAAAACACACCTCGCTCCTCCTTCCCTACCCTCATTGTCACCCGCTTCAGGTACCACCATTTCTCATCTGCATTTGCCAGAGTTGTCAAAATAGTTACAGAAAAAGAGGCAAGTCATATTGAGTCAGTCCCCTGCTTAAAACCCATCAAATAGCTTCTCATTTGTTCTGAAGCACAGCCCCGAAGACTAACATAGTCTTTAAGCCAGCACGGTGTGCCCCTGCTCACTCTGCCCACTGAGTTCAGGTTAGCTCTTTCTCCGGCCCCCTCTCCCTCGGGTTCCTCAACCCCTCAGCCTCTGCACAGCTGGTCCCCTGCCTGGGATGCCCATCTCCCGAGCTCAGAGCCCTGCATCAGGAAAGCGTTTTATGAGCCTTCGAAGCTCCCCGGGGGCCGAAATGGGTAAACTGAAACACATGTAACTCAAAATTTAGTTGTCTTCCCATCAGATGCAAAATAAAACCCGACGTCTCTAGAAGCGTAGGAACTGGCCTTGGCCTACTTATCCGGCTCCCCAACCAGTCCTTTCCCTGCTGCTCCCAACAGCACAGCCCCCTCCCACCACAGGTCCTTTGCCCGAGCTGTTCTCCAGGCACCCAGGGTGTCTCCCTCCAGGTTCTGCAAGGAGCTCTCCTTGTCCCCCACAGGTCTGGGCTCAGAGAGGCACTGGCCACTCTCCCACGATTCTGTACTTCAGTCTCGGGTCCCTTTGAGGCACTTGGCATGATTTCTACCTGCTTTTATTGGTCTGCTTTCTGGCTCTTGTCCACCCCCCCAGCCCCCCTTCCACTTGTGTAGGTTTCCTGAAGGGAGGTCTGTCCTGCCACATCCCCAGCACCCGCCCAGGCTCTCAGCGCCTCTCCGATAAAAAGCCATTTTTGGTGGTAGCATCTCCAACAGTGGGGGTTTTGATCCTCAGACAATGATTCTGCTCTTCAGTGAACACTTCCGCTCACAGATGATGGCTCGGAACAGAAGGATGGAGGCATTTTATGTGGGAAAGAATTCCTGTGGAATTGCAGCAAATCGCAACTCAAAATCCGGGGATGTCAATTCAGGTGTCAGGCCCTGGGGTTCCAGGAGCTTCTTAGCATCCGCCTGCTCTCCTCTCCACAATGCCCGGGCCCCTCTCCCAGGCTGTGAACCTGCGCCTGTCCCTCCCGGCTGCTTTCAAGATGAGGGCACGCGAGAGGTGCCAGCCGGGTGGCAAGGGGAGCCTCGTGCCAACCCAGGAGAGGGCTGCGAAGCGCTGGAGAACCCAAGCCGTGGCGCTGTGGTCGGCAGAAAGCTGCAGCCTGCTCCCAGGAGCCACCAGCACACGTGCAGGAAGAGAGCACAAGGGCGTGGTTTGAAAAGCAGCCTTTACTTTGGTTTTCGCTTCCTCAAGGCCCTGGGCGTCCTGTGAAACTCTAGTTCCTGCCCCTCACTCCTCCTTCAGCCACTGCAGCAGCTGCGGTGTGTAGTAGGTGATGATGATGTCGGCACCTGTGGAGGCAGAGAAGCAGGAGATGGGCATGGGGTCGGGGGCTGTGCACCAGCTCTTGGGAGACAGGGCCAAGCAGGGAGGAAGGCCCTCTGGCCACCACGAAGAGCGGTGTCTGTGGGTGTCACAGGATGACCCTGAGCCCAGGTCCGGTCAGTTCTAGCCCTGGATGACCTTGGACAAGTCATTTCCTCTTTCGGGACCTCAGTTTGCCACAGAATCCAGGAACAAGAATGGGAGTAGCGGTACCAGGAGGGGAGGGGGAAGGTGGGAAGAGAAAGGGGAAACTAATTGTAATGATCAACACATAGCTCCCCTGCCCCCATCCCCAGGGGACGAAAAACAGAAACCATGGGGTAAGGGAGACCGTGGTTGGTGTAAGTTATGAAAATAATAATAACTTATAATTTATCAAGGAATCACCAGGGTGGGAGGGGGGTAGGGAGGGAAAAAGAGGAGCTGATACCAAGGGCTCAAATAGCAAGTAAATGTTTAGAAAATAATGATGTCAGCAAATGTACAAATATGCCTGATACAACTGATGTATGGATTGTTATAAGAGCTGTAAGAGCCCCCAATAAAATGATCTTTTAATTAAAAAATAAGAAAAGCCTGGTGGGGAAACACAGGCTGGAAGTGCCCTTCCCACACTGGCCCACGCCCCTAACCAGCTCCCTTTCACAGAGCGATAAGCAGGTGCCAGTTACAATCATCAGCTCCCCTAACCTTGAGGCAAGGGCGCACCCACACCAGCCTCCTACTGGCACGGGAGGGTATGGCGGCATGGCCTGCGGCGGTCTCCCAGCAAACGGTGTAGAAGGCTCGGCCTGCTTCACCCTCCTGCGCACGCATGCCTTCCGGCGGTTCCACGCCCTTCCCTGCTCTAGGTTTGGACCACTGGCATTTCCTCTCTGGGTCCCGTCACTGAGAGAAGACAAGAACCCCCTGCGCTGCGTGCCTACCTGCCCGGCGGAAAGAGGTCATGGCCTCCAGGACCGCAGCCTTGAGATCAAATGCCCCGGCCCGGGCTCCGTGCCACAGCATGGCAAACTCCCCGGAAACGTGGTACACGGCGAGAGGGAGCTCCGGGTGCTGTGGAGGAGGAAGGCGGGAGGATGGGGTGCCTCAGGGTGTCCTTCCCTCCCCACCCAACCTGTGACCACCCCACGGCCTGAGCCACTGCTGCTGGCTGCCCCGGCAGAGACAAGGCGGGGAAGATTTCTGCCCAGGGGCTGATCCCGTCCATCCAGGAGAATCTGCAGTCCCATCAACCCAAGGTCACAGAGCCTGCGGCCAGCGCGTCTCCTGGCTAGCCCTCAGGCCTCAGCTCTGTGCTGACCTTGGCCTTCACCTCCCGCATGATGTCCAGGTAAGGCATCCCTGGCTTCACCATGACGATGTCGGCTCCTTCCCGTACATCTCGGTCCTAGGGGAGAAGGGAAGGGTGTGGGCAGTACTGGGAGCACAGGGAGGAGAGGGCAGGGTCAGCCTGGCAGGGCTCAGCCCCGGTCAGTCACTCACCACCGCTCGGAGAGCCAGGCCCCTTGCTCCGGAGGGCAGCTGGTAGCAGCGGCGGTCTCCGAAGGCTGGGCTTGACTGAGCCGCATCCCTGGGGGGCAGAGCCAGTGAGAGGACACCAGGTTGGGCCCAACGCGCAGGGATTGAACACCTTGCCCCCACTTACCGGAAAGGTCCGTAGAAACAGGAGGCAAACTTGGCACTGTAGCTCATCACGGACACCTGTGGGAAACAACAGACTGCTGAGCCCGGGCTGATGAGTTCCGACAGGAAGGACCGGGCCGGGATGCAGAATGCCCGAGTTCCGGTCCCTGATGCCCCCATCTGAAGGACAGAGGTAGAGACGGACCCCAAACGCCTCATCCAGTCTGCGATGCCTGGCAGCTCCGGTGGGCAGGGCTGGGCTGGGTCTTCCCCCTCCTGGGCATGGCCTACGCTCCTTACCCTGTTGCCAAGTCCGTGTGCCATCAGGGACTCCTTGATGGCTCCCACGCGTCCGTCCATCATGTCCGACGGGGCTACCACCTGACATCCTGAGGGGCAGAGGGCAGCCTTGAGAGCTCTGGGGGTCCTCCTGTCCCTTGTGCCACCTTCCTGGTTTAGAGGCTCCCGGCCACCACCCCTCTGCTGCCTGGCTCACTCACCTGCCTTTGCATAAGCCAGTGCCACCTCTGCCAACCGCTGGCGGCTCTCCTCGGCCAGGATTGCCCCGTTCTTATCCAGCAGCCCTGCAAGGCCGACGGCTGTGTCAGGGCGGGCACCCTGGGCCCTGGTCCACCCCCGCCCCGGTGAGGACTGGGCAGTGGGCGTGCAGGGGGCAGCAGGGCTGGCCGGGCTGAGGTGGGGAAGCTCACCACAGTGACCGTGGGAGGTGTAGGGGCACAGGCAGACGTCACATGCCACCAGGAGGCTGGGGAAGGTCTTCCGCAACAGGCGGACGGCCTCGACAGCGGGGGAGTCCTCGGAGTCCGCGGCAGAGCCCCGTTCATCCTGGGGGCAGGGGGACGCGTCATACGACACCCCGCAGTCCCAACGACAAGGACGATGGCAGGGAAGCAAAGGGATTTTTATGGAGGGCGCAACAGAGGCCCTGTCTGGGCACTTGACCTGCTCAGTCAGACGCTGTCTTAGGACAGAGCGCATGTCCGCTAGTCCCAGGGCCAGCAGAGGGCCCGACCTCAGTCACCCTCTCCCGGGTTCCGTACCTTGGGAACTCTGCTGGGGACACCGAAGATCAGGACGCAGCGCAGCCCCTCTTCCACCAGCGGTTTCAGCATCTCTTCTAGCCGGTTCACACCATACCTGGGGGGAGTGGAGTGGTGGGGGTGGGGTGGGGTTGCTGAACTGAGGCAGGTCTTCCGCGAGAGTCTCTCGGCCCCCACCACTGTGCTGCCGCTGCGGAGAGCCCAGCTGGCCAACCTGGGAACACAGCCCATACATGGAAACCGAGTTCCTGGGCTCAGTGCTATGGACTCCGGCCGTGGAAAGCCCCCCCCTGCCATGGTTTGCTCCCTGAGCTCCCCCCTGAAGCCCAGCTCCCCTCGGGAACAGCCCCATGCAGCCAGCAGCCGGCCTCTGCTACGTGTGGCACTCTCTCCTACTGTAGAACAGCGTTAGCCCTAAGAAACCCTTCGCTCCACGGAGAGAAGTCTGCCTCTCCCCTGTGGCACTGCCTCGTGTGAAACCACTACCTCCCACCCCCACCCCGTCTCCTACCTGGCCACTCCTGGGAGGCTGGTGACTGGCTGTACGTCATCGGGAACATCTCTGCGAGAGTGGGGGTGGATGAGGAATCAGCAGCTGTGGGAAGCACCTGGGCGAGGGGGGATGACTACGAGGGATGAGGCACGGGGTGAGAAGGGATAGGGAGGTAGAGATGGTGGGTGGGGTGAGATCCAGTGGGTGGCTCCCTGCCTGGCCAAGCCCAGGCCTGACGTAGCAACAGGAACAAGAGCGACAGGGACAGCCAGGGCAGCTGTCCCAGGACAGTAGACACAAGTGAGTCAAGTCAAGGCAGACGCTCAAGTCAGATGCCCCTACTTCCTAAGCCAGCTCTGCCGCTTACTGCCTGGATGCGAGCAACCAGGTGGCATCATCTCTTCTGAGTCTCAGAGGCCTCATCTGTGTCCCAGGTGGGCTTTTTGCTCAAACACCAGGGGAGTTCAAAAACGATGCAGAAAAATCCCATTATTTCTCAAGTCCACTCTCTCTCAAGCGGTCTGAAGTTCCCTCCTATTTACTGGGCACTTATTAAGCGCCAGACCATGTGTGCTCTAGGCTCTGGTGAACGAAGCAGATACCAATCTCTGGGCATATGGGACCGAAATTCTGTAGTGGTTGTTGTTAGGTGCACAGTGTCAGTTCTGACTCACAGCGAGTCTACATACACCTGAACGAAATGCCACCCGGCCTCACACTGTGGTTCCCACAGTGGCTATTCTAGGGGATACACAGTCCCTCCTTCTTCGGAGCGCTGCCAGGATCGAATGAGATAACACGCACATGTAGGTGTTTAGCACAGTGCCTGGTACCCAGGACGTACTCAGTAAGTGCTGGCCATTGCTGTTAACAACCATGATCGCCGCTTCTTACTCGCACGCACCCTTTGCAACCAACAGAGCACTCTGTTTTCTTAGTGCAAAACTCAGGACGGCAGCCAAGGGTGGCGGTTCTCATTTCCCGGGATGGGGAGATGGAGGTTTCGTTTGGAAGGTTCATTTTATTCCTAAGGCTGCTGTCCTTAACCCCTCGGGACACTTCCAGTAGAAGGGTCATCTGAGTTCCAAGCTGACAGCCCACTGTTCCCCTCCCAGTGACCCTGATGCCCGGCTCACCCTGGCAGAGCAGAAGCCTGGCCCGTGCCCAAGGACTCACGTGACAAAGATGGGATAGATGAGGTTGGAGGCGCTCAGGGTAGTGGCGGCTGTCTGCCAGGTCCGAAGCAGTGGGTGGAAGTAGCCACTGTGCAGGACGGACTGCGGCTGCATGGTACGGTCTTGTGGTCAACAGGGCAGTCAGCCAGAATCCAGGGATCCTGGGGGAGAGCGGGTAATGGCAGGAGAAACGTAAGACATCCCCTCTAGGGGATGGTGACATTCTTCTTACCCAGGCCTTTCCAGATCCCTGCCTCCCCAGCACCCTAGCCCACAGCTACTCAGAGTATTGTCCATCCAGGCCTTTCCAGAGCCCTGCCTCCCCAGCACCCTAGCCCACAGCTACTCAGAGTATTGTCCATCCAGTCTTTCCAGAGCCCTGCCTCCCCAGCACCCTAGCCCACAGCTACTCAGAGTATGGCTCACCAAGCCCCACTGAGCAGAGGAATCCAAGTCAGCCTTTAGCAGTTCTCATAGCAATATGAAAAATACATTTAGGTCTAGTGACTAATAATATAAGTATGGGGCTTACGTTTTATATGGCTACTTTTCAAGTTGTGTCTGACTCGCAGGACAGCGGACGGAAGCCCTGCCCAGTTTTGTGCCATCCTCACAGTTGGTATGTTTGAGCTTGTGATTGTGGCCACGGTGTCCATCCATCGTGCCAGGGCCTTCCCCTTTCTCACGGACACCACTTTACGAGCAGGAGGTCCCTCTCTCCTGACACTCGTGAAAGGAAGTCTTGTGAGGAGAATTCTGTCTGCACTTCCGGCAAGACAGAGCAGTTTGCTTTTCTGGCAGTCTCTGGGTTATTCAAGATATTTTTGCCAACCTCATATTTCAAGGGCATCAGTTCTCCCCCCAGTCCTCCTTAAGCACTGTCTCTTCACATGCATCTGGGTGACTGAACACACAATGGCTTGGCTAAGGCACACCTTGGTCCTCAAAGTGACATTGGTGGTTCCTTAAAGACGTCTTGTGCACCAGATTTGCCCGTGCAGTATGTCGTTTGATTTTGTGGCTGCTGCTTCCGTGGGCATTGACTGTGGGTCCAAGTACAATTTCCACCCTTTCTCCGTTTATCGTGATGTGATTTCTGGTCCAATGTGAGGCTCTGTTTTCTTTACACGGAGGTGTAATTCACCCCGATCTTCACCAGTACTTCAAGTCCTCTTCACTTTCGGGGAGCCAGGTTGCCATCTGCACATCACATGTTGCCATGAGCTTACCTCCAGTACCCAGATGCCACGTTCTTCCTCTTAGAGTCCAGGTCCTCAGAGGATTCGCTCAGCAGACTGGCTGAAGACAGGACAGTGAGGGGATCCAACTCTAATGCACAACTCTGATTTTAAACCACTCGTGTTCCCTTGCTCTGCTCTAGCAATGGCCTCTTGGTCCATGTACAGGTTCCACGTGAGCGCAATAAAGTGTTTGTGGATTCCCATTCTTCTCAGTGCTATCCACAGTTTGTGATGATCCACACAGAACACAGGTAGTCTGGTATTCGTGGCTCTCTTCCCAAGTCTTCTGAATCCGGCTTGCATTTCTGGGAGCTCCTTGTCCTGTTGGTGTACTGCTGCAACTTTTTCTTTTTTTAAATTATCTCCAGCAGAGTTTTACATAAACCCACTGCCATTGGTCGATTCTGACATCGTCACCGGAGCAGAAAGCCTCCTCTTTCTCCAGAGCAACAGCCAGCTGGTAGGTTTGAAATGGCTGTTACCTATTTAATGCTTATGGGACATGGATGAAGCCATTTCCCACCCAAGGAGTCAACCTGCTGGCCCACAACGGCAAACCACACTGGTCACTTTCTAGCTCTGTGCACCCTGTTCCCTTCACCTAGAACAGGGCAGGAGCCTTTTTTTCTGTCATGGACCATTTGGATATTTTTAACATCATAAAAAAAATGGTACCAATGAAACACATCGTTCTTCTAGTTCCTCCATGCTTGCCCGCACCCCACCCTCCACTACTATGACCCAGTCCTACCTACAAATCTGGATGGACCGGAGTACACGCATTGTACAGATAAGAGCACTCGGCACATGGAGTTCAGGACAGGTAAAACCCTCAGGAACAGGAGTGGCAGTAGCAATGTTACGAGGGTAGAAAAGACAGTGGGGAGGGGGGAACTCATCACAAGTTTTGATATAAAGACCACCCCCAGGGGAGCAAATAACAGCATTGTGGGTAAAGGGAGACAACAGGCAGTGTAAGACAAGACATAACAGTAATAATATATTATTGATCAAGGATTCATGAGGGTGGGAGGGCAGGGGGAAAAAAGGAGCTGATACCAAGGGCTCAAGTAGAAAATGTTTGGAAATGTTGATGGCAACAGATATGCACGTGTGTGCTTAAAACAACTGAATGATGGATTGGTGTAACATTTGTAAGAGCCCCCAAAAAATGACTAATAAAAATTTATCAACTTGAAAAGTTAGCTGCTATATTTGAGCAAACGTTCTCTCACTTCTGCAAGATCAGCAGGCCCATGGAGAAATGCGGGCTTTTCTCCTCCTGTCCAGAGGGACAGTCTCGGACACTCCCGGGGCAGATCTGCCCTGTCCTATAGTCGCTGTGAGTCAGCACCAGTGTGAATGCGTGAGTAACGTGTTGGCTACAACAGCCTCTCTGGTGAGGTGGGTGTGACGTTAGTTGGTGCTGATGATTTCAGGGCCTTTATGGCTCTCAGGCAGGTTCCCCACCTCTGACTTTGAACTCCAGACTCCAAACGTCATGCCACAGAGTCTATTTCAACTCAAAGCAACCCGATAGGACAGGATAGAAGTAGCCCTGCCAGTTTCCAGGATGGTCACTCTTTACGGGAGTAGAAAGCCTCGTCTTTCTCCCAAGGCGAGGCTGGTGGTTTTGAACTGCTGACCTGGAAGTTAGCCACCCAACACACAACCACCTGGGCAAACCTGATCCAGAAGCTTCTATTCCCTCTACACCCAAATCCTGCCCATTCTCCCAGAGGTGCTCCTCCCCCCCTCCCCCAACTGAAGCTTCTCTTCCTGCCCAGATTGCAATCTCATACAAAAGAGTGCTTTATAAAAGCACAGCTCAGTTTTCCATTCAGCAATTCATACACATTTTGTCTCACCTCACTGATGGGACGCTTCCACAATATAACATCCCGTACCGCCTTGCTCCCTGCTTCCTGCTTGTGTGGCACCTCCTTTCCTAACCCTCTCAACTTTGTCCTTGGGTGAATGCTGCCCTTTTGATCTCAAAAGGTTGATTACTCTAAGGTGTTCTTGTTCCCCTTAGAGACGGCTCTATTACATAACAGTTCTTTGTAGAGTTAGCTAATTTCAGTAGTCAGTGCTCACAGCGCTCTGCCTGCACCCAGCACAGGGACACGTGTCTGTTGAATTCCAAGAAGTACATGGTTAGAGACCCCGAAAGCCAAGTCCACAAGGGGACAGAGAAGGAAGCTGGGGCATGAAGGCCACTTGAGTATGACGTAGGAGGTGGGACGAGACTTGCTGGAAGACGAGGACTTGAACTGGGCTCTGCAGGATGAGCAGATTCAGCTGGACGGGGTGAGGGTGGGGGGCGAGAGCACTCCCCGGGGAGAGGAGGCAAGGGGCAGGGAGGAATTGGCCAGGGGCTGTTCTGCGGAGATGAGGAAGGAAATAAAGGAGGCAGTGAGGCCAGTGTGCACCTGACGAGGGGGAAGGTGGGAGAGCACGAGAGAGAGGTGCCCAAGGCTGGCGCGGGCTGCCTGACCCAGAAGCCTGAGGGCAGACTGGAGGTTTCTGAGCGGGGCACGAGGTCTGGCCTGAGTCCTCAGGGTTGACGATGGTCAATCTTGCAGCTAGAGCAGAGCTGGCTGCCAACAGGCAAAGGAGCCTTTGGGGCTCAGCTGAAGGTGGAAGGCTGCCAAGAGGGTGGGCGGATGCTTGGGAGGACAGGGACAGGGACAGAGCAGGAAGCAGGCGGTGGGAACCTGGGCTGGAAGGGGGTGGGGAGCTACAGTTCAGACACTTCCTTCTGGGGAACATTTAGGAACCAAATGGGGGACAATCAGAGCCACAGGTGTGGGAGCCGACAGGCACTCACCCAAGGTCACGCAGAACCGAAGGCTAAGTTAGCAGGATCAGGATCGGGGTGTTGGGGTGTTCACTGGCTGCCTTTCTTCCCAGCCTCCCAGGCCCTGCGGTTTCCCACCAGCTGTGTGAAGGGTCAGGGCTGGGAAGTTTATCAACCCCCACCCCCCCCCACCCCAGTACGGTGGAGGTTTATCATGAGCCACACAGAGGGCCACACCCTGCCGGAGAGGCTGGCTTCCAGACCTGACACAGGCCTCCCCCCAAAGAGGTAATCACACGGCTCATCCCCACCCCAGCTCATCCCCCACCCCAAATTCACTTCGAAGATACACTGGCCAGCCTGTTTTGTACAGCACTTTGCTCTCAGGTCTGTCAGGAGTTCGCTTGGCTCAGAGAGAAAGGTCATTTACCTAAGGTCACAGTCAGAATTTGAAGTTGCTATAGTGATCCACGCTTGATTCAATGGCTCTGCCTTGGGGCTGGCAAGGTAGAACTGTGGAGAGATGGACTGCAGGCCCGTCATGTGGTGGGCAACACACACACACACACACACACACACACACACACACACACACACACACACACCACACACACACAGTCTCGTTCAACTGCAGAGGGTTTTTAGTGCCAACAAAACCAGGGCTCCGAACGTGTGTGGGATTTGTTGCTGTCCCTCTGGGGAGTGGAGTCAGGTTTACAGCCAGGGCCTGGAGGGTTTGGTTCACTTCCCGGGGACAACCTGTCACAGGCCCCTTGGCTTCTGGAATCCGAAGCTGCATTCCACTCCCCTTTTGAAAACTGACAGAACAAAGCTTATCAGAAGCAACAGGCAGAGCAGCCTGCAAGGGCAGTCCTACAGGGCCTCTGAGGAGAGGGGAGTGGGGGGGAACTGAGCAAGGCAGTTCCATTTTTACCTGTTTTTTAATTTTTTTTATTTTAAGAGGCAGAGAGAGATTTGATTGGAGAATTAGGGGGAAAAGAAAGAAGTTATTACTCCTGTTAATCTTCCACTTCTTGATGTGTGACATGGGGCGTGGGGGAGGGACAGGGCTTGGTCGTGACTGTACCCTGAGTCAGGTACAGAGCGGCAACTGAACTCTGGGTCTTGGGGATTCTAGCCCCGTGCCTTGTCCTTCTGTTACCAAACCAGAAGCCAAATTCACTGCCATCCAGTCGAGTCTGACTCACAACGACCCTATAGGATAGAGCGGAGCTGCCTTGGTGGGTTTCCAAGGCTGTAACTCTCTATTGGAGTAGGAAGCCCCATCTCCCCACCCTCCTCCCACCTGTGATTGGTGGTTTTGAACCGATGACCTTGCAGTTAGCAGCCCAACCCATAACCCACTATGCACCAGGGCTCCTCATTCTACTACAACAGGTACTTAAAAATCTATGAAGTGGAAAAACGCCCATAGAATCAGATTCCCGTCAGTCTACAGAACCAAATTCAGTCTGGGCTTTTGCTTTGTGAACACTACTTTCAAAATCTGGGAGGCTTCCACCTGGTGGGAAGGCAGCAAGGCACTGTGCCCAAGCCGAGGGAGTTTGTCCTTAAGTCTACAGATGGAAGCCGGCTGCCCCCATGCTCAGCACTGACCTTCCCCAAGTTAGGACAGCGGAGTTTAGCTGGAAGGCACCATGGGAATGTGCACAAAGAATTCGAGTTTCAGGGTCAAAGAGACCCAGGTCTGTGCTCAGTCACCATGGGCAAGGTCACGGATTTTCAGTCTCCATTTTATATTCTATAAAACGGGCACACCACCCAATGTGCAACCTGGTGGGGAAGATATGAGATGGTAATCAGGCCCATGCCTGGCACTACGTAGGCACCCAGTAAATAAGCAGCTATTTTTACTATCAGCAGTGGAGCTGGGCTGGGATCTTTGACATACCTTCTACACCACACCCAGCAAGGTGCACATCTACTGAAACCAGCAATGTGGAGTCCCAGAATTCCAGTAGCTCAGTTGAGGGGAGGACAGGAGGCTTAGGTGCTGAGGGGGGGGGGGGGGGGTCTGTATTCCTGGGGATCTATATAGCTTCCGGGAAGAAGGGCTTTGGCTTTTCAGACTGGTTGGCAAGATAACCCAGCAACATTCCTAGCCTGAGGCTAGCCTACATCTCTAAGAGGTTCTGAGAAAGAGCTTCAGGACTTCAAGTACTCTGCTAAAGACTCCACAGGCTGTGGCTCTGGTTTAGGAACCCTGCTGGTGTAATAGGTTCTGTCTGTTGGGCTGCTAACCTCAAGGTCAGCAGTTCAAAAACCACCAGGCTCTTTGTAGGAGAAAGATGAGACTTTCTGCTCCCATGAAAAATTATAGTCTTAGAAGTCCACAGGGACAGCCAGATCCACCCTTTTGAACATGAGCTAGAACTAACTGACTTGATTTAAATATGAAAGGTGGTCTTTTCTTACTTGTTACATATTTTTATACTTCTATTATCATTATCCTTACCACTTTATTTTGTTTTTTTAATTGTTTCTGTTGGGTTACTCAGTTTGTTAAGCACAGAAGGAGTAGATGCCGAGAGATAATAACTGATGCAATGGTTTATAGGGGGTGTGGGAGTGTTGGAGGGTGAGGGGGTTTGGGGAGCAAACAATAAAAGCGGGAGGGAGAGGGAGCACTAGAATTGATTGCGATTATGTATATACACTCATTTTAAAAGCCATTTAACCGTGGGAGTGTATGATATGTGAATACTGTATCAAGAAGCACACACACACACACACACACACACACACAAGAAACCAAACTTGGCCCTCTTTGGCCTTAGCTATTTGGAGCCAGGAAAATCGACCATTTCCACAGACTCCTGGAACCTCACGCTTGCTGAGTACATGCCCCTCATTGAAATGTGGGTGAGATGGCCCAGAAATTGGCCCAAGTGGGGGAAGGTTGCCCAACATGATGAAAGTGATTGATGTTTGTGCCAAAACAGTGAAACAGCAAATGTTTTGTTATACATGTTTGCACTACCCCAAACAAATTAGTCAACTCCAGCAGGTCACCTAGGTATGAGTGCCTGTCATTAACCAGGAAAGATGCTAAAGTTGTGTTTCAGCAGAGGTAGGCCAGAGAAGAGCTCCGGTGAACGCAGGAGGCTGGGCTTGGCTACAGCAGGCAGCACAATGTTCCCTGCGTGGACTCAGGAGTCAGATTCAGAGTGGGTACCTGCCTGCTTCTGTCAGTTTCCAGCTGTGTCACCTCGGTTTCCTCATCGGGTAAACGGAAACTTGAACTGACCTCAGCGGGTTGTTGGAAAGACTGAATGGGCCATTGCAACTATCAGCTCGCACTTGCAAGCCTCGCACAAGTCTGTTTAGTGTACCCCCTCCCACCCCCATCCTTCGAGGCACGGGAGCTCAGCCTGGATGGAGACGGCTCCAGGGGTCTCCGAGGGGGCGGGCCCAGGAGAAGAGATGCAAAGCCCAGACCTGGGTCCCCAAACGCTATGGCACGCGGAACCCCCTGGGCCGGCTAGAGAAGATCCCCCGATCTTCAGGATTTCATACAGCAGTTGCACAGGGACTCCGTCCCCAGCGGCACTTCAGGTACAAAGCTCAATCTGCGGTAGCGGGGCTCCTGGTCGCACAGCCCCGGCCGGACCGCGGGGCCACGCTCCCCTCCCCCAGCTCACCTGCTCCCCAGGGCTCCGCGTCGCTGTTCCCGCCGCCGCCGCCGCGGCCTCCGCCGTTCTAATGTCCAGACGCGCACGTGGGGGCGGGCCAGCTCGCCCGGAAGCGGCTCCTCCTCCCACGGCCCGGCCCCTTCAGCGCGCAGACCACGCCCCCGGATCCGATTCTGCGCCCGCTGACCCCTCCGGGCGGGGCACCGCCCCCGCACGTGGAACCCGTGGCTTGGCCAATCAGCTTGTCGGAGAACTGGAAGGCCCGCCCCTCCCCGCGACGGGGCCGGGGCGGAGCCTGGGACGGGCGGGCGGGGAGCACGTGGGAGCAGCGCGACAGCCCTCGCCGGGGGGCGCCCTGGGGGAGTGGGCCGGCCTCAATTAGCCCTCCTTGCCGCAGGCTCACTCCTGCTTGGCACTGGGCAGTGGTTTGTGGAAAAAATAACTGGGAATCTAGAACGTTAAAAAAACACCATCATGCCTAACACAGTAGCGAAATCCATTTTTATGGACTGACCGTTTTAAAGTTGAGTCCAGCCTCAGACTGCCTTCCAACTTTTCAGAGAAAACGTATTCTAGTTTAATGATTCGGTACCTATTTTGTGCCAGGCATCATTCAGGAGAGGTGATGTGGCAGACAGGAGCATCTAGACCCCAATTCTACTTTATACTACTTTTAAAATTGTAAACGAACGGGCATAAAGCGAGGGGAAAATGAAACTGCGTAGTTCCCAGCTATGTTTTTGATCTGTGTCCAGCAAGGGGGTTGTGTACCAAAGAGCCAGGGGCAGTAGGAGGACTTTTACATGGATTTATTTAAACTTGACATTGGCTGCATTACATCTTCACTGTACACTAGGAAACTCTCCCCAGGGAGATTAAATAATTTGCCCAACAGGGTTTTCTCTGCACTGCCTACTAGCCATGCTCCCTCAACACATAGTTGGTTTATAATTCTTTGTTTGTTTGTTTTTCCAGCTTCTCTCTTCCACGACAGCGGAAGAAAAAGGCAGAAGAGTAGAAAACCGTAACATGTCGCTGTCTGCTGTCATGTTTTCCCCATGTTTCTCTTGTTCCTTCCTGAAAGACCTCTTCCCAATTATTCATTTATTTTTTAAATGATCTCACTTTAACTTTGTACTCTTAGTTAAAGAAAGTGTTGTGAATGCAAGAATATGGATAAATCTTATACCTAATATTGAGCAAAAGGAGCCAGGTACAAAAAAGAACATATTGTATGGTTTTGTTTCTGTGAAGTACAAAACCAGGCAAGGTCCCTGGCGTTAGAAGTCAGGAAACAAGTTTCTGCGGTAACGTGGGTGCAGTGATTGGGAAGGAGTCTGAGGGGGCTGCTGAGTGTCATGGTAGTGAGGCTGCTAGTAATGCTGATTTATTGATTTGGGTGTAGGTTACACAGATGTGTTGACTGAAAAAAATTAACCCAGCCCAACACTTACTTGTACATTTTAGTATGTATATTGTATACTTCAATAAGAAAAGAAAAAAAGATTGTGAGTGCCTCCCACAGCACATGGCACTGTGCTAATGCCATGAAAATGGAAGCAAGGCAGCAGGGTACTGGATAGGGTCCATTTTCATAAATGAGTGTCAAGATCTATCCTTTATTGCTGATGAACTTAATTTTCCATCAGTCAGAACAAGGGAGGCTATAGTCTCATGGGACAACTCGGTCAACTGACATGAAGACAGTGCTCTACATCTTAGTTTGGTGAAGAACATGTGGGCTCTTAAATATTTGTGAGTGGCTATCCAAGCTACACCTATTTGTCTCTTTCCATCTGGAGCAAAGGAGAGTGAAGGAAACCAAAGACAAGGGAGAAATTACAGGCCGATGGCTCACCCAAGCCACAGCCTCTTGTAGCCTGAGACCAGAAGAACTAGATGGTGCCCAGCTACGCCTGCCGACTGACCTTTCTGATAAAGGACGCAGGAGAAGGTCCCAGGTAGAATGGGAGAAAAATTCATTAAAAAGACCAGACTTAATGAAGCGATAGACTAGATGAAGCTGACACCATTCCCTCCCAAACCCCTTTAACCTGGAACTGAAGCCACTCTGAGGTCACTTCTCAGTTACATAGTAAATTGTCCTGTAAAATAACAATATAAACCATATGCTTATGTAGTCAGCTATGGGAGACTGAGTGGTCAGCATTTCCAGAAAGGCAAAGGCGAGAAGATAAGGAGCGGCAGGGGCACTGGATGGATGAAAAAGGAGCAGGTGGGTGGAAATGCTGAGTGCCTACCCTCTGCAGGGAGCCTCACCAATGGCACAGTGAAGTTGTGTACGAATTATTGAATGGGAAGCTAATTTGTTGTGTAACTTTTCACTTCAAGAAAATGTTTTTAATTAAAACAAAACAAAACAATGATAAAAGAGGCTGCAATAGTAATTGTACGTGGGGAGGTGAGATAACCGCCTTACACTCTGCAGTCCAGATACAAACTTCTGGGCCAAACAGGTGCGGCTTTGAAAGATGAGAAACGAGAATGAGGGGGGTTGGAGCAGAGACCCAAAGCCCATCTGTAGATAATGGGACATCCCCCCCACAGAGGGGTCGTAGGGAAGGGATGAGTCAACCAGGGCGCAGTAAAGCACTGATGAAACACAATATTCCTCTGGTTCCTTGAGTCTTCCTCATCCCCACTATCATGACCCCAGCGCTGCCTCTCACTTCAGACTAGCCCGGAGCATGTACACAGGTACAGATGAGAGATAGGAGCTCAGGACACATGGAATTTAGGAACAGGAATGGGAGTAGCCATACCAGAAGGGCAGGGGAAATGTGGGGAGAGGAGGAGAGTTAGGGAGAACTCATTGCAATGATCAACCTATAACCATACTCTTCCCCTCCCCCCCCATTTCCTGAGGATGAACAACAGAAACCATGGGGGAAGGGAGACAGTGGTTGGTGGTGATAAATTTATAATTTATCAAAGGGTCATGAAGGTGGGTGGGGGGGGAAAGGAACTGATACCAAGGGCTCAATAGAAAGTACAGTACATGTCTAGAAAAGAGTGATGGCAACATATGTACAAATATGCTTGATACAATTAATGTATGGATTGTTATAAGAATTGTAAGATCCCCAATAAAATGATCTTTTAATTTTTAAAAAATGAGAAGCATTGTATTAAGTCCAATTAAGACCCTCCCCAATCCAGATACCACTACAGGAATGACACAGATATGGTTGGGAATAACTGGCAGAGGGTCTAAAAGATTCTACTCAGTTCCCAGTTCTTTAAGTTACAAGTGTTTTTGCCCCCCCTTTTTTTCACTTCAAAATAAGATATGTGCAGTGTGCATAGGAATTTGTTCATAGTTTTTTGTAAAACTATAGTCTGGCCCTCCAACGGTTCTGAGGGACAGTGAACTGGCCCCCTGTTTAAGAAGTTTGAGGACCCCCTGACCTATAGAGTCGCTGAGTGGAAAATGACCGTGGTGTGGGTGTGACTCCAGAGTACAATGCTATTGACCTCACCAATATACTTTTTATCAATCTGAAATTGATGTGTTTCAGAAAGGTAAGATTTCCCAACAGTAAGTCCTGTGGGGAAATACAATGAGGGAGGACTATATTCCCTGACATAACAGAATCAGGAAAGCTAGTATTCCACAATAGGTAAGCCTCCACTTTGGTAAGTTAGAGATAAAGTCTAAAGTACATTATCCTACTTTAAATATAGTTCCCACAGATTCTCCCTTAACAGCTATGCTGCCTTAAAGTGAGCATATGGTTGATTTATCTCCCTACAGAAACAGACATTCTGTTACTCTCTCTTCCCACCACGTCACCCAGCCCCGTCGGAAGTTCCCCCAAAGCAGATAATAGGTTTCCTCACCTGTGAGCTCAGGGACCTTACTGTAGATTTCATTCACCTCGTGACGCATGTAACTACTGAATATGCATGTCTGATGGCTACCTATAAATATCCCAAGATCGTAAAGGTGTTTTCTTCTCCCACCTTCACGTGGACCAAGAGGAGCTGAGGTGAGCATGCTACCATGAAATGTGTCTGGCTCCTTTTATTCTATCTTTCCTATCCTCTATGACTTTATTATCATCAGATGACCATACAATTGCACCTACTGACCTGTTGTTAGAGGCTGGTTTCCTCTGACACTTCTCCAAGGAAAAATCGTATTAACTCCTGTGAGCACCACTCTAGATTAATCCCCCAATCCCATCTGGACTTCAACTTTCTTTGAGCTGGTTCCTGCCTGATTTCTGCTTACCTTCTCCCCTGCCTTTCCAAGTGCTTCTCCTTGGAATTTAACAATGTTATAATCCCTCCCTGAATCCTATGGAGTCACGTCCATATTTAAGCCTGTTTCTCGAAGCCTCCATAAGAAGGGCTCACTTTGCCACCTATTCTAATTTGCTTCTACTTCCCAACATAAGGCTGGGTGGTCACCACACTTGACGCATCCCCATTTGCAGCCTCAGAAATCCTGTGGGACAGCTCTACTCTGCCCTACAGGGCCCCTCTGAGTTAGGACTAGCTGCAGCAGTGGGTTGGAGTTGGTGCCTCTCTCCAAGTGGTTTGGATCCGAGAATGGGAAGGGACCTTTCCCGACACAGCTGGCACCTCCAAGACTAGGATGAAAGAGACCCTCAGCAACAAGAAGGATGTGTGTCCGCAGCCAGGTCACTTGCCCAGTTTGTTCTTCAGGCTGTTCTCGTGAGAGTAAGTGCAATGCAGTGACCGCTTTCTGTTCCAGTGTCCTGTCCCCTTACCTCGCAGGAGACCTTGCAGAGCAGATAAATGATTGGTAACTGATGAGCTTCAGGCTGAGATGCAATGGGAACTGGAACTTGTGAGGGCTAGTGAGGAAGCGGAATTAGAAGGGAGGGCATCCAGGAGGGGAGAGCGTGGGTGTGAACTTCGGGTTAGGGAACGGGGATGGCTGTGTGTTGGGTCCACGACACACTCACAAATGTTTTCAGCAAAGTATCCTCATTAAAATAATGTCGCCTAATTACATGGTATTGGGTTTATAACTTAGAATTTTGATTTGCAAATGTATCCTGGTTTGAGATATATAAGTAATAAACAGGAGCGTATACCTAGACAGAAAAAAAAAAAAAAGGCAGTCACACACTCAAATCCCATGCAAAAAATCTCTTCTGTTTGGCTTTAGTTCAGTCTACTTCATTCCTCACGTTTTTTTTTTTAATTCCCACTCCAACTTTCTCCCTGTAACTCTTCTGCCAAATCTTTCCCATTCTTCAAGATCCATTTGAGTCTCGTTGCTTTTCATCTTAAAGTCCCTTTAAAGAACTGTGGCCATGCTAGTCTTTGCAATTTACTCCTCTCAATACATCCCAGTCTCTTAACTAGCAAACTACCTTTTCCCTCATGTGTCTCCTAAGAAAGTGGGAGAAGATACTGATAGGATTCCCCCTGTGACATCAGGCTTTTTATTTCATGCTAGCCGGATAAATGTCCTCAGCGGGCCACATGTGGCCTGCCTGCTTATAGGTCATAGAACTGTCCGTTAGACTGTAATCTTTCTCCTGTGGAGCGAATGGTGGCTTTGAACTGGCAACCTACTGGTTAGCAGCCAGGCAGTTTAACCACTCCATCACCATGGCTCCTGGAATCACTCAGCAGTTTTAAATCCTGGCTGCTTTTATACATGTGAACTTGGGAATGATCCCTCTTCTCTCTACTGGCTCATGATCTCTAGATGGAGACAAGCACAGTATCACCTCACACTTTAAGGGTTAGCCTCTTTCGTGAAGGCACTTAAAGCATGGTGGCAGGTAGAAGGGAATCCAGTGCCCGCATGTTTCCAGCAACCATCCAGCTGCTGCTGTGGCTGAAACAGCCATTTTGCTGTGAATGAGCAGCACCTGCTGGTCATATAGGGTGATGCAAGCCCTCACATTTACAAAACTCTGGTTTAATAAATTGTACAACTAACAGATCATTTTCTTCAAAAGCAGACTCAAAACAAGCAGGATGAAACTGAAGTCATCATCTTAAACAAGAATGTTCTTTATTTATAAAACACATTATAGCTTTCTCAAGACTCTTGATTCACTTATCAAGCTTTTTACTGTTAATCATTTGACAAGTGTCAAACTCCAAACATTCAACAGAGGCAAAAAGTGTTTAGAGCACTGAAGTGGGGAAAAGGCCAAGGCCGGCCCCGGGAGACCATCGGGAAGCACTTAAAGGGATGATGGTACGGGGGAATCAGATTCCTGAGCACCGTCCTTAAGGTTTAGAGAAGGGTGAGAATCATGTTTTAAAAGGCATTAGATTGTAACTAAAGAACCAGAGGAACCTACCCTTCCAGAGCTACTAAGCAGCTTACCAGCGTCCCCAGAGTGGCAGAAGTGAGACGAGGAGGAAGGAATGGGAATGGGACGGAGGGCAGAGGCAGGGAGAGAGGCAGATGGAAAAAGTGTGCCTTAAGGTTATGAAGTTTGGAAGGGTCATGAATTAAAGGCCGAGAAGTTGGGGGGGTGAGATTACAGGACAAAGCCTGGGATTCTACACCTTCATGTGTGTGAAGATGAACCCTAAAAAGCTGTACAGGGGCAGGCAGGGAGGTTCGGCTAAGACTAAGACATCTGTTTTGTAAGAAGGCGGCATTGGCATCCTCACTCGACTAAATACACACTACTCAATTAAAAGCCTGTCTGCCCAGGGGGCAACCACCCAGCAAGCCACGTACTCACTATGCACAATACAGAAGGGTTCCAAGTCCAGTCAACCCATCAAGACCCACTGTCAAGTAGCAAGGTTACAGCTTTGTTTTCTCCAAGGACTTTTTAGTAGTCTCCAAAGGCTACAGCACTCACTCTTTAGTAAGCTAGGACTGCCAAGTACTACCCAATCAAACACAGGCTGTCATGATCAAAGCCCCCATTTTTCCTGAGCCTCAGATGTGATCTGAAACACAGCAGGTTGGGTGGAAGTTGTTTTATTTTTATTGTGTGTGTGTGTGTGTGTGTGTGTGTGTGTGAAGGGGACGGGTAAGGAAGAAGGGAGTAGGGATCAAAAACAGCCTAACCATACATACAATCATAGTACTGCGTAAGAGAGATCCAATTGGCTAATTGGATTAGCTGCTCGGAATCCCTCTGGTCAAAAAAGCCACGCCTTCCAGATGGATTAAAGGAAACAAGGTGCTGCTCCTCAGGTGCCTACCGTCCTGGAAGCGCTGGCTTTGTGCTATGTTTCTAGCCAGTCTTATCTCCATCTTCTCAGTCCATCCACTGAAGACTGCTCACAGAATTGTGTCCCACCCTTCCGAGTGGCACCTTCCAAGAGGCCACGGTCTTCCCACGCCATTCAATTGTCCACCTCCTCCTCCTCCTCGTTCTGTTCTTCTTCTTCTAGCCTCTCCTCCTCTTCCTCGTTGTCCTCATCCCTGCTCTTGTCTTGCTCCTCCGCGTCCGTTTTCAGGTCTTTGTCCTTCTTCTTCTGTTCCGAAGCTTCCTTCTTGCCTTTCTGCTCCAGCCTGTACGCTGAAAGGAGAAAGGAGGCGGGTGAGGAGCGCACCAGACTCCAGCAACTAGCTCCATCCCAGGAGGAAAGAAAACCTGTCCAGCATCACAACAGACCGAAGTGGGGCCATCCGGGAGGGTCTGGGCAGCGGCCGGCGTGGGCTCAGTGGACTTTACGGGACGCACACTGTCAAGAGGCCCCAGGGCAGGTGGCCCTGGTTGAAGACAACGGGTGCTTACCTTCCAGGGCCTCCTTCAGGGGCGTAACAAACCGCTGGAACTCCATTTCTTCCATGGCGGAGAGGACGTCACTGGCATTGAGTGTCTTGCGCTTCCCTTTCATCGCGAAGTTGTTGGCACTTGAGGAAGGTGGGGGTGGGGGTGGTGAAGGAGGAGCCTTCAGAGGCTGTCAGCACCCTCTCGGCCAGTCCCTCCTGTCCCTCTACCAGGGGACTAAGGCAGAGCCGCTTTGATATGGCTTCGGGCTCTGTAAGGACGGTGGACCTCTCCCCATCGTGCCTGCACGCACACAACACACACACACACACACACACACACACACACACACACACAC